CATAGAAGAGTTTGGCAAAGTAGTAGGATATAAAATCAATGCACAAAATCAACAGCCTTTGTATACACAGGCAATGCCACGGCTGAGGAAGAACTTCTAAGATCAATGCCATTCACAATAGCTACAAAACAATCAAATACCTTGGAATAAACTTAACCAAGGACGTTAAAGATCTCTACGATGAAAATTACAAAACCTTAAAGAAAGAAATAGAAGAGGATACCAAAAAATGGAAAAATCTTTCATGCTCATGGATTGGAAGAATCAATATCATCAAAATGTCCATTCTCCCAAAAGCAATTTATACATTCAGTGCGATACCAATCAAGATACCGAAGACCTTCTTCTCAGATCTGGAAAAAATGATGCTGAAATTCATATGGAGATACAGGAGACCTCGAATAGCTAAAGCAACCTTGTACAACACAAACAAAGCCAGAGGCATCACAATACCAGATTTCAGGACATACTACAGGGCAGTTGTAATCAAAACAGCATGGTACTGGTACAGAAACAGATGGATAGACCATTGGAACAGAATAGAAACACCAGAAATCAATTCAAACATCTACAGCCAACTTATATTTGATCAAGGATCCAAAACCAATCCCTGGAGTAAGGACAGTCTATTCAATAAATGGTGCTGGGAAAATTGGATTTCCACATGCAGAATCATGAAGCAAGACCCCTACCTTTCACCTTACACAAAAATTCACTCAACATGGATTAAAGACTTAAATCTATGATCTGACACCATCAAATTATTAGAGAATAGCAAAGAAATCCTGCAAGATATAGGTACTGGCAAAGACTTCTTGGAAAATACCCCAGAAGCACAGGCAGTCAAAGCCAAAATTAACATTTGGAATTGCATCAAATTGAGAACTTTCTGTTCTTCAAAAGAAACAGTCAGGAAAGTGAAGAAGCAACCGACAGAATGGGAAACAATATTTGCAAACTATGCAACAGATAAAGGGTTGATAACCAAAATCTACAATGAGATCAAGAAACTCCACAACATCAAAACAAACAACCCACTTAAGAGATGGGCCAAGGACCTCAATAGACATTTTTCAAAAGAGGAAATCCAAATGGCCAACAGACACATGAAAAAATGTTCAAGATCACTAGCAATCAGGGAAATGCAAATCAAAACCACAATGAGGTTTCATCTCACCCCGGTTAGAATGGCTCACATTCAGAAATCTACCAACAATAGATGCTGGAGAGGATGTGGGGAAAAAGGGACACTAACCCACTGTTGGTGGGAATGCAAATTGGTTAAGCCACTATGGAAGTCAGTCTGGAGATTCCTCAGAAACCTGAATGTAACCCTACCATTCAACCCAGCCATCCCACTCCTTGAAATTTACCCAAAGGAAATGAAATTGGCAAACAAACAAGCTGTCTGCACATTAATGTTTACTGCAGCTCAATTCACAATAGCTAAGACCTGGAACCAACCCAAATGCCCATCAACAGTAGACTGGATAAAGAAATTATGGGACATGTACTCCATAGAATACTATACAGCAGTCAAAAACAATGAAACACGGTCATTTGCAACAAGATGGAGGAATCTGGAACACATCATGCTGAGTGAAATAAGCCAGTCCCAAAGGGACAAATATCATATGTTCTCCCTGATTGGCGACAACTAACTGAGCACCAAAGGGGAAACTTGTTGAAGTGAAATGGACACTATGAGAAACAGTGACTTGATCAGCTCTTGTCCTGACTGTTGATGTACAATGTAATACTCTATTCATTTTAGTATTTTTTTGTTCTATTACTATTGGTTGAACTCTGTAATTAATACAGTTATTTTTAGGTGTTTAAATTTTAACTGAAAAGTGATCCTTGTTAGGAATGTGGAAAAGATTATGCTGGGTGAAATAAGCCAGTTCCAAAGGGACAAATATCATATGTTCTCCCTGATCAGTGACAACTAACCGAGCGCCAAAAAGGAAACCTGTTGAAGTGAAATGAACACTATGAGAACCAGTGACTTGATCAGCCCTTGCCCTGACTGTTGATGAACAACTTAATACGTTATCCCTCTTAGTATTTTTTTGTTTGTTCTACTTAATACTTTTGGTTGAATACTGTAATCAATACACAGTTATTCTTAAGTGTTGAAACTTAACTGAAAAGTGATCCCTGTTAAATATAAGAGTGGGAATAAGAGAGGGAAGAGATGTGTAATTTAGGACACGCTCAAGCTGATTTGCCCCAAACAGTAGAGTCAGAAACATACCAGGGGATTCCAATTCAATCCCATCAAGGGGGCATGCACCAGTGCCATCTCACTAGTCCAAGTGATCAAATTCTGCTCACAATTGATCATAATGATAGGACTAAGAACCAAAGGGAGCACATAAACAAGAATAGTGGTTGCAAATACTAGCTGATAGAATAAAAAAGGGAGAGAATGATCCAACATGGGAAGTGAGATACACAGCAGACTCATAGAATGGCAGATGTCCTAAACAGCACTCTGGCCTCAGAATCAGCCCTTAAGGCATGCAGATCCGGCTGAAGAGCCCATGAGAGTATTTCAGGCATGGAAAGCCAAGACACTCTGGCAAAACAAACAAACAAGAAAACCAAAAACCTAAATGAAAGATCTCCGCGAGAGCCGGCGCCGTGGCTCAATAGGCTAATCCTCCACCTTGCGGCGCCGGCACACCGGGTTCTAGTCCCGGTTGGGGCGCCGGATTCTGTCCCGGTTGCCCCTCTTCCAGGCCAGCTCTCTGCTATGGCCAGGGAGTGCAGTGGAGGATGGCCCAGGTGCTTGGGCCCTGCACCCCATGGGAGACCAGGAAAAGCACCTGGCTCCTGGCTCCTGCCAGGATCAGCGCGGTGCGCCGGCTGCAGCGGCGGCCATTGGAGGGTGAACCAACGGCAAAGGAAGACCTTTCTCTCTCTGTCTCTCTCTCTCACTGTCCACTCTGCCTGTCAAAAAAAAAAAAAAAAAAAAAAAAAAATCTCCGCGAGTGAGATGCCAGTGGAAAGAACAGGTCTTCAAAGAAAGAGGTACCTTTCTCTGAAGGGACGAGAGAACTTCCACCCTGACTATGACCTTGTCTAAATATGATCAGAGTCGGTGAACTCAAAAGGCTTCCATAGCCTTGGCAACTCATGACAAGAGCCTAGGGTGATTATTGACTCCATAAACAAGAGGGTCAATTTGTTAAGTCAACAACAGGAGTCACTGTGCACTTGCTGCTCATGTAGGATCTCTGTCCTTAATGTGCTGTACATTGAGATTTAATGCTATAACTAGTACTCAAACAGTATTTTTCACTTTGTGTTTCCATGTGGGTGCAAACTGTTGAAATCTTTACTTAATATATGCTAAACTGATCTTCTGTATATAAAGAGAATTGAAAATGAATCTTGATGTGAATGGAAGGGGAGAGGGAGTGGATAAGGGGAGGGTTGCGGGTGGAGGGAAGTTTTGGGGGGGGGGAAGCCATTGTGGTCCATAAGCTGTACTTTGGAAATTTATATTCATTAAATAAAAGTTTTTTAAAAAAAGCTTAAGTTGCCTGCTGTGGTATAAGTTTTTCATCTCTAAGTTAGGAATCCTGTATGTTTTGCTAGCATCCATGAAACAAAAGTATTAGTGTATAAATAAGGTAAGCTTTTAAATCCAAGATCTGACAGTTTGTTAATAAAAATTGGATCCTCAGAGAAACATAGTTTTATGGAATGGGAAGGACGACGGTTTTGTGATCACATTTGGGGACATGAGAAGATTCCTTGAGATTTGGTATGAAATACTCTCACCATGGTAAAGGGGGAAGGAATGAATGTCTCCACCTATTGATGCAGCTAAGTGATTAGAAATAGGAGTCAAACAAACCATGTTAATGGTTCCATGTTGGAAGAGGAAGGCATGATATTGTAAAAATTGAGCAGCAAGGCCGGCGCCGCGGCTCACTAGGCTAATCCTCCGCCTAGCGGCGCCGGCACACCGGGTTCTAGTCCCGGTCGGGGCGCCGGATTCTGTCCCGGTTGCCCCTCTTCCAGGCCAGCCCTCTGCTGTGGCCAGGGAGTGCAGTGGAGGATGGCCCAGGTGCTTGGGCCCTGCACCCCATGGGAGACCAGGAAAAGCACCTGGCTCCTGGCTCCTGCCATCGGATCAGCGCGGTGCGCCGGCAGCAGCGCGCCGGCCGCGGCGGCCATTGGAGGGTGAACCAACGGCAAAGGAAGACCTTTCTCTCTGTCTCTCTCTCTCTCACTGTCCACTCTGCCTGTCAAAAAAATAAAAAAAAAAAAAAATTGAGCAGCAAGCCAAGTGGCTTCAGTTGGAAGCCAAAATGATTGTGGTTTCTGAGGCAATTAATCTATAATGTGGAAATATATGGTTTCAGTAGTGAGGACCTTGCTATGTGATACACCAAAAAGATCAATTCTTTCGGTTGAGCTACAGGTAGGCAGATCCTCAAAAAAGAGTAAATGTAAAGTCTCATAGTGTATGTACCTTCTTCCATAGTCTGACTTGACCAGTGAGGGTGATCAGAGTGATGGGGATTGGGATGGCCAAGATTACCAAACCCTATGGGGTAAAATGCATTGATGTCCACTGGGATAGTAACAAAAGGAACTTTCAGTCCAGACGGTTGCTGGGATGTACCCAAGGGAAGAAGCAGTATCTCTGTTCAGATGACAATGGGAAGCAAAGAAGAAAAAAGCATCCTTGTCACTCTCATCATTCCCTGGGAGCTACCTTTTCATATTACTCTGCATTCCCTACATTACCACATAGTCTCCTGTTAGCTATACATATATTAAATTCCTAATCTCTAATCTCTCAGCAGAAAGACACCAACATTCAACTAATGGGATTTGGGTAAAGTTCTAGGTTGGGAAGAGAAGTTAAAGTGACCTTATTGGTGGAGCCTTTCAGGTCAATATACTTCTGTGGTTTTCATTACTTAATGTATTATTGGTATTGATGTGTTACACGGTTAATGTGTTACACGGTCACGTACATGTGTGACATCCTTGTCCATGAATGCCACAGTAGGTTCCAGCACTGCCACTTGGAAATAAGTGATAAGGAACATGTAGTCCCCCTCAACATCCCTGTCCTCTCTCTTTCTCTCTTCCTCAGTCTTCTTCATCTTGGCCCTTTAGTATCCTCTTCTCTGTGTTCAACTGTGCAGGTTGTGCCATGTGTTTCCCATAGTAAGTGGCTTCTCTTTCACTCCAGTTCCTTCCAGCTGCATCAGAACAGAAACAAATTATACAGTTCTTAAAATGCTGCTGTGAGGATTACTGAACGGCCTATACAGACCATCCAAAAACCCCACTGGTCAAACAAAACAGTTTATTAAATTTACATCAGGAAGGAAGACCAACTTGACAGTTTTGGTAGTGTCTCAAAAGAGAGTTAGGCAAGAGTTAGGCAAGCACATGTATATTTTCGGATGTAAGCTCTAGAAGTTTAAGTAGGTCTTATCCCCCCCAAGATGGGGAATAAGTCAGGATTGGGCAAGGTTTGTGAAGTAAGGGTTAAGACTGACAAACATGAAGTCTTGAAACATGCCTAGATAAGCAATCTGTACTGATAAACGTTTGCCCTAATAATGAAAATGTTTGTCCTGAGCCAAGTGTTTATTGAAATGACTGATTTCTGAAATTTCCTAGAAGAAAAAGTTACATCAGCAGAAGCAGTCTCAATTTTCAGTTCTAAAAGCTGTGCAGGTGGTACTCAGTTATCAAGAGAAAATGAAAGTGGTCAACTACATACTGAAAATCTTCAAAAGTCATAAAGAAAGGGGTAAGGAAAGAGGCAATCATCCCATTCCACACGAATTGCTCTTGATTTTATAATTAAAAGAAATGACCAGTTGATATTTTGGCCAGTTATATGGCAAATTGATCCAACAAAGAATTAATTTTTGGCTAAATGGCTTGCTTCTAATCCAAGTGATGCATAACACTTTGTCCTTTGCCTTTCTTCCTTCTCACTGTTCTCTCCCTTAAATGCAACCATGGTCTACTATCTTCTTCAAAGAGCAGTTTACTCCCTATCTCAGCTTTAATTCCTGATGTCTTTGATATTTAAAATTACATTCTACTTTCCACTTGATATTTCAAATGGATGTCCTGATTCATTTTCCCCTTAAGATTTTGTTCCTCTATAACTACCTGGTCACCATGCTCCTGGTTAACAAACTTGAAATCTGTAGTGATTTCTGATGCTCCTCTTTACTTGGTCCCTCTATTCAAAACTGTTCACCAGATCCAGATCCAAAAGACTGTCTTAGTGCTCTTCACAGTGCTGTCAGATATGGAACCAGAATCTAAGTCAAGCAGTTTTCTTCAAGAAGGGAGGCCTATCAGCTGGACTACACAGTGTGTTCAATGACAGAGCTGAATGCTATTCTGGCTCAAGCTCCTCACTTTGCTACAAACCACAAACGGCTGGCTGACCAGTTGCCAGTCTCAAACTATGCCTTGTATTAAAAAAGATGTTTCTAAAGGCAAATATGGACCCCTTAAGTGGAGGACCTCATGCCAGCATGACAAGGTATGCCATGTGGTCACCTTTTTGCTTTATGGTCAAGTTTTACATAATTTTCTTGACAGGTGTCATTCTATTTCTTCTTTTTCATGAGTCCCAGCCACATGAATATGTTCATATATGCTCTTGACTTTCCTAACAGCTGCATAAGACTCCAAATACCTCTCCCAGGGATGGACTCTAGGTTCCTACTACCAGAAATGATCATGCAAAAAACATCTTCACAGCAGTTGGTGCTCCACTTATCTTTCTGCAGGATTGTGCAACAGTCTTCCTATTGCCAACTTCTACATACTGCAAGACTCTCTCTGCTCCCAGCACAGTTCCAAAACTCTGAGCTCCCAGCTGCTATAAAATTAAATACTTCATTCTGGGACTTTTAATTATCAGGCTTTGTTTCACTACTCTGCTGTTCACATTGAATCCTCCAGGCAAACTGGAATAATACTTTCTGGTCTTCTTACGTATTTCTAACCACACTGTGTGTTTAACACTTTACATTCTTAAATATATATTTTTAAATTTATTTGAAAGGCAAAGTGACAGAGAAAGTAAGAGATCTTCCATCTGTTGGTTCACTACTCAAATGGCTGCAAGGGCCAGGGCTGGGCCAGGCCAAAGGCAGGAACTAGAAACTCCATCTAGATACCCCATGCCAGTGGCAGGGGCCCAAGTACTTGGGGCATCTTTTGCTGCTTTTCCAGGTGCATTGGCAGGGAGCTGGATTGGAAACAGAGCAGTGGGACTCTAACCAGTGCTTTAATATGGGATGTCTCATCACAAGTGCTGGTTTAATCTGCTGTGCCACAATGCCAATCCCAGGACTTGACTCTTACTTCATTCCCTCTGAGATGTGTTTCCTCACATTTGCAACTGTGAGGTGATATTCAAATATAATCCCTTAAACAAAGCCTGTTCCTAAACTTGTATGTGTGTTCTTTTCCTCATCAGAAATTTCAAACATGTTGTTAAAATCCTCTTTTCTGCTACTGTTCTACCTATAATATAGTTATTTATATACTATCTTATACTAGTTCTACAAGTCTGCACATCCTTTATGCTAGCTATTTCCCATAATCTTCAGCATGGTGCTTCATGAGCCCTAAGTGCTGTTCAAATATATGCCTAGCTGATCTGAGCAACTACTGGGAGTAAGAACTGCAGATATTTGGAGACAAAAAACTCGATTCTGGCACAGGAATTTAAAGAGTCATTTCCATGGAACCCTCTGCAAGACTTCAGGAAAGACAAACTAAGAGAAAGGAAATTAAAGCGAGCTGTAGAAGAAAGCTTAGGACATAGGTAACACACCCCTTGTTACCTTGCTTGCTGCAGTAGGCAGGAAATAATAGTAAGTCAAATAAAGGAACATTCATTATGTGCCAAGCACTATGAGCTTTACATGTACTGGCTTTTAGTCTTCATGTTCTCTATTTACAAACAAGAAAAGCGAAAGTGAGACAGGTTGTATCATCTGCTCAGAATTGTAAAGCAAGTGAACATTAGGTGAGTGGAAAGAACCCAGGTAGTCTGTCTTCCTAGCTTGCCCTCTTCACCACTACTCTAAACTGCCTTCACTGATGAAAATAAAATCCAGTTTGGCTCAGGTGTTAAAATTTACACCAAAAATTGCAAAACCTGCTTCTTAGGACTCTACACAAGTCTGAACCTACAAAGGGACAACTGGTTTCTCTTTCACAATTCCATGAAGAGAGGGCCAGGAGTTTAGGAGAAACAGCAGGAGCTCCAACAGGCCAAAGCCCACTGTCTTTAGAAAGGCTTCGACAGCCTGAGATTGTTCACTACGCACGGGCTCAAAGCTCACGCGGGAGAGCAATCTGCAACACAATTTTTGATGCGAAGTGATGACAATAGCCAGCATCCAGTGGCGCTTATTCCATGCAAAGCATAGGACGCTGCACCTGTTAAGTGCACTGCTCTGGCCACTCCAAGAGAAAGGCCCAGAGAAAGGCCCAGGAGAGCGAGAAGCGCTGAGTCCTCCCGGGTCACGGGGCCGGACGAGGGCAGGGCCCGGGCTGAGCCCAGAAATCTCGACCGCGGTCGGCCCTCGAGTGTCCGTGTTCGTCCCTGCGGCAGGGGCTGGGAGCCCCACGGGCGCTTTTTGTTCTGTCGAGGCTGCGAGAAGCCAAGAACCAGCGCGCGCGAAGCTGCGAGGCTGCCTGCGGGCGCGGGACCCTCGTCGGAGAGCCCGGGGCCAGGCGACCGGCGGCCAGCCCGCCCTGCAGCCCGTCTGGGCAGCCGTCCCAGGAGAGGGAGCGACAAGTCGGGGACGCAGGAGCAGAAGCGCAGCGGGGCTTCCTCGGAGGTCGGGGCGGGAAGGGGGGCCGCGCAGGGGCGGGGAGGCGCCTGGCGGGACGGGTCGGACTCACAGTTCCAGGAGCTGACTGACCCGCTGCAGGCCGGGCATCGCGGCCGCCCTCAGAGCCTCTTCCGCGTTCCTGGGGCGTCCCGGACCCAGCCAGGAACCGTCCTCCAACTACCGCCTCCTGCGCGACGCGTAGGCCCGCGTGACGTCACGGAGTCGCCCGGCGACCGGGGCGTGGCCACGTCCGGGACCACGGGGCGATAGCGGAGCGCCCTGCTTGGGGCGGAGCCACCGAGCGCGGGCGCGGAAGGGCGAGTGTGAGAAAATGCAGAGAAGCCCTAAGCCGGGGCGAGGGACGCCGGGAGTTGTAGTTCCTCCGGGAGGCTCAGCGCGCGGCCCCGGGCGGTTTCGCGGCGGTTCCCGCCCTGCGAGGCGGGCCGGGCCGAGAGGTCGCCCTGCAGCGTGCGCCGGGGGCTGGGCCAGACCGGGCCACACGCAGCGGACTCCCCACGGCCCTACCGTGGGGCTGGGCGTTGTCGAGGGTCGGAGAGTGGCTGCTCCCTGCGTGGGCCGCGCGCCGAGGCCTGGTTCCGACCGTTAACCCCTGACGTGGGCACCGCGTGCCCTCCCTGAGTGGATGCGGGCCCTCCGCGCCGGCACGCAGGCCCCGAGGTCGCCCGTGGGTGCTGCCGCGGGGCGCCCGCCGCCTCTCGGGGCCGTGTCCTCTTGGTGGACTCTTGGTTCTCCTGGTGGACTCCTCGGACCCGGGTTGATCTCCTCAGGGTGCCGCTCGCTCGGTCACCCCTCAGTCAGGCCCTGGGCACCGCGGTCGGAGCGGGAACATGCGGGAACGTTCCATGCTGGGCGTTGTAAGGGTCCGATGAGTGTGTATTTTAGGGTTTGTGGATCATACTGGCTGGGTCACAGGTATTCGACGTGTGACCGAGGGGTGGGCATGTAGCATGGTGGTTAACATGGCCACCATTCCCATTTCAGAATTCTTGGGTTCAGTAGGGAGTTCTGGCTCGTGACTCCAGCTTCCAGCTAATGCAGACCCTGGTGGCTGCAATGATGACTCAAGTGGTTGGGTTCCTGCCACCCACATGGGAGGTCTGGATCGAGTTCTTGGCTTTGACCTGGCACAGACTCAGTTATTGCAGGTATTTGGAGGAGCGAACTAGTAGATGGAAACTCTGTCTCTATCTGGCTCTCAAAAAAAAAAATTTTTTTTTCCAATTTAATTGCAATCACAGAAAGTATGTAGGCTGAAGCTGTGTTGTAAAATTTTATTATAGACAATAGAAGTTTTAATTTCATGTTATTTTTATTTTTTTATTTATTTATTTTTTTTTTAGCCATTGAAAATGTGAAAACCATCCTGAAGTTGGAAACTATAATTGGTCTGTGGGCAGTTTGCCCATCTGCCCCCTCTGTTAGGGTAGAGAAGCATCCGCCGCCCAAGGAACGACTCCAAGAGACACTCTCATGCAATCAGCAAGGGGTTTATTGATCCAGCATGCTGGGGCTCTCTGACACACAGGAACAGAGCAGCCCCGGGAAGTCGAGGGTCAGGGTTTTTATACAATTTTCAGAGGCACTCCACACATCATGGTACCATTTAGCAAATCATCTCATCACGCGGGAAATTCAAAGGACATCTCCCAAAAATGATTGGTGCATCCAGTGGCGGGAACGGACCCACCAAAGGTGGTTGGATGGCTTTGGGGTTGATGCCTTCTGAATTGACTGGCCGAAGCATAGGCTCTGAGCTGCTGGGGTGTACGTGCCAAACTGCAGGGTCCTACACAAGATTACGGGAAGGTTTGTGGCTTATTTGGGAACTCAGGGACAGGGAACTGGTCGGGGGAGGCAAGATACAGGAAAGGGGTAGGGAGGGGCTTCTCGCAAACAGCGGGTGAGGCAGATGTTACATAGTTTTTTTTTTTTTTTTTTTTAATCTTTACAGTTGCACTTAGCTTCAGCTTTGGGGGAGGAGGCTTATGCCTGTAACTTTAAATCCAACTCCCCACAATCAAGTTTTACAGTGAAGAATTGAGCTTGCAGAATAGGCAAAATCAAAGAGAAAAGCAGACAGCACAACTTTCTATTTAACTGCTGACACATAGTCAAGAACAAGCTCAATTCTTCACCTCCTGGTTTAGAAATGTGGACATAATGGGCCTGTATGTGAAAGTTCAGGCTTTGTTTGAAGGATGTTAGGCAGAATCACAGATAGCTTTCAAGCAAGAGCAGGAAATGCATAGAGACCTGCACTGTGGTGCAGTATGTTAAGCTGCAATCTGTAGTACCGGTATCCCATATCGGTGCTGGTTCAAATCCTGGCTGCTCCACTTCCAATACAGCTCCCTGCTGATTTGCGTTGGAAGGCAGTAGAGGATGGCCCAGGTGCTTGGGCTCCTACACCCACATGAGAGACTTGGAGGAAGCTCCTGGCTTCTGGCTTCTCCCAGGCTCAGTCCCAGCCGTTTTGGCCATCTGGGGAGAGAACCAGCAGATGGAAGATCTCTCTCACTGTCTCTCCTTCTCTCTCTGCAACTCTGCCTTTCAAATAAATAAATAAATAAATATTTTTAAAAAGAAAAATTTTTGAAAGATAACTCAAGCTGCTTTGTGGTAAATGAATTGAAGAGTTCACAGGCAGAGGCCAGAGACCAGATACAAGTCTTGATGAAAGCCTAAAAAAATAATAGCTGCTGAACGAACAGATTCAAGAAGTACTGTGGCAGGGATCCTCTCCCGGGAAGTAGAGGAAGAAACAAAACCTGCTAAAGGCAGAAATGGTAGAGGCTTTCCAGTAGGAGGCTTTCGGAGACTGCAGGGTTCAGGGTTGGTGGGTGAGGGGAGTTGTCTGAGAAATACCACAAAAGCATATAAGTCAACTGAAGCAAATTTAATGTATGCAGGTGTAGCTCTGTGTGATAGTTGTGTGAGCAGTGCTATACCTTTTAACCGCTGAATCAAGGTATATGTAACCACATATGTACTAAAAAGTTTGAAATTGTTTGGGCCAGGGTATATAAGACAACACCCTGCTTTGTTCATGGCCCAGAATTTGGAAACAAACTCTCCCTTGGGCATGCCTGCAGAAAAAAGGAAAGGAAAGGAGAGGAGAGGAGAGGGGAGGGGGAAGGGGAGAAGGGAGATGAAGGGGGAAGGGAGGGGAGGGGAAAGGGAAGAGGGGAGGTGAAGGGAAGAAAAAGAAAGGGAAGTAGAGGGGAGGAGAAGGGAAGGGAGGGAGGAAGGGGAGGAGAGGGGAAGGGAAGGGAAGGAGGGGAAGGGAAGGGAGGGAGGGGAGGAGAGGGGAAGGGAAGGGAAGGAGGGGAAGGGAAGGGAGGGAGGGGAGGAGAGGGGAAGGGAAGGGGAGGAGAGGAAGGGAAGGGAGAAGGGAGGGGAGGAGAGGGGAAGGGAAGGGAGGGGAGAAGAGGGGGAGGGAGGGGAGGGAGGAGAGGGGAAGGGAGGGAGGGGAGGGAGGAGAGGGGAAGGGAAGGGAGGGAAAGGAGGGAGGAGAGGGGAAGGGAAGAGAGGGAGAGGAGGGAGGAGAGGGGAAGGGAAGGGAAGGGAGGGAGAGGAGGGAGGAGAGGGAAAGGGAAGGGAGGGAGGGAGGAGAGGGAAAGGGAAGGGAGGGAGGGGAGGGGAGGAGAGGGGAAGGGAGGGGAGGGGAGGAGAGGGGAAGGGGAGGGAGGGTAGGGGAAGAGGAGGAGAGGGGAAGGGAAGGGAGGAAAAGGGAACAGAGGGGAGGGGAAAGGGAGGGGAGGGAGAGACAGAGAGGTCTTCCTTCTGTTGGTTCACTCCCCAAATGGCCACAACAGCCGGAGCTGTGCTGACCTGAAGCCAGGAGCCTGGAGCTTCTTCCAGTTCTCTTACACAAGTGCAGGGGCCCAAGGACTTGGGCCATCTTTTACTGCTTTCCCAGGCCACAGCAGAGAGCTGGATAAGAAGTGGAGCAGCTGGGACTCAAACCAGTGTCCATATGGGATGCCAACACTACAGGTGGCAGCTTTACCTACTGTGCCTCAGCACTGACCCATTGAAGTTGTGTTTTTTTTTGTTGTTGTTGTTGTTTGTTTTTTTTTAGTTCATTTACTTATTTGAAAGACAGGATTACAGAGGAAGAGGGAGAGAGAAAAAAAGATTTTCCATCTGTTGGTTTATTTCCCCAAGTATTCGCAACTGCTGGTGCTAGACTGGGCTGAAGCTTGGAGTGTGGAACTCAATCCAGACCCTTGCTTCCAATTCAGCTGCCTGGGAGTGCAGCAGAGTAAGGCCCAAGTACTCAGTCCCCTGCCACCCATGTGGGACACCTGGATGGAACTCCAGGTTCCTGGCTTCAGCCTGGACCAGCCCTGTTCACTGTGGGCCATTTAGCGAGTGAAACAGCAAAAGAAAGCTATCTCTCTTTCTTATTCACACTCCCTTTAAAATAAATAAATAAATCTTTTTAAGAAAGAGAATATATTGAATAGCAGTGATAGGACTGTCCACATATTTATTAATGAACACAGTAATTTTTGGGAAGAATACTTGTTGCTCTCAAAGCTGATTAGAGCTTACAAGACTATGGAAGGTGCTGGTGCTGTGGCATAGTGGGTAAAGCTGCCGCCTGCAGTGCCGGCATCCCATAAGGGCACTGGTGCAAGACCCAGCTGCTTCACTTCCAATCCAGCTCTCTGCTGGAAGATGGCCCAAATCCTTGGGCCCCTGCATGTGGGTGGGAGACCCAGAGGAAGCTTCTGGCTCCTGGTTTTGGATCAGCTTCTGGCTCCTGGTTTTGGTTCTGGCTATTGGGGCCATCTGGGGAGTGAACCAGCGGCTTGAAGCCCTCTCTCTCTTCTTCTTTCCCTCTGTAATTCTGCCTTTCAAAGAGATAGATGAATCTTAAAAAAAAAAAAAAAAAAGACTGTGGAAGCCCTTGACAGAGCAGATGAGAACAGGACTTCTTGGCCCTTCCTATTTGTTAAGTGTTGCACAGCTGTCCCTGTAGGTCTTTCAATTGACCTCTCAATTCTTCAAAACCAGTAGAGTGAAGGTCACTGCCCAACTGTTATGAAATGTTTGGCGTTTGGATTCAAGATAGTCAAAGAACTTGGCACAGCTGTTATTCTTCTTTCCTTAAAAAAAAAAAAAAACTAGAAAACAACAACAAAAAACGGTATCACAAGGCAAGATAACAAAAGTCCTAGTTGTTTCTAGCCAGTTGTAGTCATGTGTTGCGTAATGATGGGGATATGTTCTGAGAAATGAGATGTTAGGCAATTGCATTGGTTTGAGACTATCACAGAATGCACTGGCAGAAACCTACATAGCGAGGATGAATCACATGAAAAGGCCTATGATGCAATCAAGAGATGCTGTGAGCATGAGGTGGATGAGGCTACTGCTGGGATAATATGGTGCACTATTTTACAGTGAATTTTTTTTATTTTTATTTTTTGACAGGCAGAGTGGACAGTGAGAGAGAGAGACAGAGAGAAAGGTCTTCCTTTTGCCGTTGGTTCACCCTCCAATGGCCGCCGTGGCAGGTGCGCTGTGGCCGGTGCACCGCGCTGATCCGACGGCAGGAGCCAGGTGCTTCTCCTGGTCTCCCATGGGGTGCAGGGCCCAAGCACCTGGGCCATCCTCCACTGCACTCCCTGGCCACAGCAGAGAGCTGGCCTGGAAGAGGGGCAACCAGGACAGAATCCGGCGCCCCGACCGGGACTAGAACCCGGTGTGCCGGCGCCGCAAGGTAGAGGATTAGCCTAGTGAGCCGTGGCGCCGGCCAGTGAATTTTTTTAAACAAGCAGAAGGAGCACACTCTGTGATTTTTTAAAAAAGTATAGAGGGCCAGTGTTGTGGGACAGCAGGTTGAGTTACTGCTTGCAATGCTAGTAATCTATATCTGTGTGCTGGTTCTGGTTTCAATACTTTACAAAATACTAAAAATGAT